CTAATCAAGATAATATAACAATCTTGGGCTCTATCCTAAACTCAAGTTTTGCACTCTTGAGATGAGAAAGAAGAGCTATATGAACCCCATGGCAAGGACTAAATTCATTTTTACTATGTAAATTTCAAAGCCTAAATATCATCAAACGGGTTAAGATATAGAATTTTAATATCCTTGGAATTAAATTTAAAGCGAATGACTCTGATGGCAATGATATCCAAAATAGAATGCAGGATCATCTGAAGTACATTTTAAAAGCATGTAAGAGTATAGCAGAGTATAGTATACAAATGATTTGAATAGCATGAGGATACTAAGTGCCGTGATGTACAGATAAAGCTATTTAGCAAGTACTTTATGAACGAAGGAGCTTTTCAAACTAGCCAAAAATAATCACATAGGAAAGATTTCTGCCAACTGGCATAATTTTCAAGTGGCAAATATATTCTTGAACGGAACTCATAAGCTCACCCAAACCATTATTCGGTCCATCTCAGGTTACCCGAATTTCAGGATATCAAGATAAAGTTCATTTAAATGAAAATAAAGGACAAAAAACAGTATACAATAAGTAATGTGGATTAAAACAGTATTCTGTCCAGCAGACAAATTGAAATGTACGAGAAGTCTGCTAAAAAATTTGGCTAAGAGAAAAGATGTCGAGCTTTAAATTTATTATTGAAAAATGGGCAGGATAAAGAAAATAGAAATTGCACCCTTCTACAAAAATGGCCTTTAATTCCTTCAAAATATTGACTATATTTGTGACCTTTAGACGAGAAACATCAAAAAGTGATGTCCATAAAAGCCCCACTTGAGCACCCACCCGCGAAAAGTGCGCGCCTTAGCATCAAGTATGACTTGCGCAAGACTGGTGACTAAAAGAGTGCGATCACGACCGTCTCGGGCATGCACCAGAACGCAGGAGCCTTGTGCCGTCAGTCTATCGAGCAAAGAAGTCAAGGTAGTTTCACTTTCGGCCCGGGTAACTGGAACCGGATTGCTTTTTTGGCTGGAGGCATGCGCCTCCTGAAGAAGAAGCCGTGCCTGAGCCAGCTAGAGATGGAATAATATATTGAAGAGTAGAGATTGAAATTGGTTAATAGGAGTAATGGAAATAAGCAATTCATTTTTGGTTACGGGGCGATGACTTAATTACTTAAGCGTTGAGAAAAGTTACTAAGTTAAGATAGATCTCTTGATGATAAGGGATGAAATGAAAAAGTATCAAGCAAGTTCAGGAGAACCATGAAAATTTGTAATAAGACATAAATATAGAGATAGAATGTCATTGAAGACATTAGAAATAATATGTTATAGTGGTTGATTTCAAAAATCTAGAGCACTAAAATGTAAAGCCTGAGCGAACAAACCCGTAGACTAATCAAATGTATCATTAAGTAGTGATGAACCAAACAATGCCTTTACAAGATCAATCTCAAAAGTAGATACCCCTTAAAGGATAATACTAGAATGAGTAAGGACTTATAGAATTCAACTGATGCCAACTAAAAAATAATTAATCAGACTTATGCGAAAAGAATATCCACCTCTGAAAGTAAGATTCCAATATTTTATTTAATAAAATGTCCCTAATTATAAGCAAATAAAATGTTATTAAAAAAGAAAGCTATCGTGTTTTTTATAATTAGATAGACAAACAGGGATACTGACAGAAAAAGCTCTTGTTGCAAGTATAGAAGTTTCCTTCGACATAATTTCAGACGATAAAAAATCAGTCTTAATAATCTTATCAATTTGGTAAGTTGGAACTCTGATGATGACGGCACCTCCCACTAACGATTCCGAACACGATGCCGGTGAAACGTTTGGTAATATACCAAATCAGTGGTTCGATACTGAAAATCACGAATACTCTGGCAGAGGACACGGGACTATGTAAGTTCCACAAGGTCTCCCTGGCGCTCCGAACAAGCTGTGAAAACGAGGTCAAACCAAAACTATAAAGCTAAATGATACTGCGACCAAACAAAAGGACGCATCATCTTGGTCTTCATATCTACGACTCAATAATCATCTTCGGAAAGCAAATTCCTCCATAAAGGATATAACGATATAAAGAGTATCTGGGTCTCGATAAATACCTTGAGAAAACATCGTTGTGGGGACTTACCTTTCGAAGTAAAGTTCGCAATGATAAGATTCGATGTTTGATCTCGACGGAAAATTAAGGCTGATCCACGTTGTTCTGCAACAATTCTGCTTTAATACGACGTTCAAGTCGACGCAGTCCACGAAAAATCCTATCCAGTTGCAGGTGAACTGGGCTGAGCTTTCATCACAGTCATGCCTTTCTTTGAGTTAAACCTGAATGACCCCAGACTGATGGATAATGGCGGGTGGTTTGGTAACCTGAATTACACGCGTACAAGCTTACATCTCAGAATCTGAAGCTGAGTTTTTCAATGGCTAGCACACACACACACAGAAATCATTTTATATCTAGCTACAGATGAATTTTTATTGTTTCCTATAAGTATATATATATATATATATAATATAAGATAGAGCAGAATGGTATCTCATTGACTTAGTGTTCATTTAAATATTTCACAAGAACGAATTCCAGCTGTCATAAAGTCCGTCGAAAGCCTAGAACTGTTTCATAAAAAATGAGGAAATATGCAGCCAAACGGCTACAAAACAACCGGAATCCACTTCGTCTTCCCGTGAGACCAACCAACAAATCTCTTCAACATGCAATTTGATACAAAATAAAGGCTTCACTATAAGGTTAGGTAGCAGGCCCGATTTTCGATTATATATAACATCTAAGGAGAATCCATCGTTATTTTATCACCTATAAGGCATACCCTAAGTACAAAGTTTGCTTATTATTTTAAAACTTAAATTGAATACAAAGAATCGGTCTCAACAGTTTGCGAAATCTTAATTGTCCGTAAAACCATCATTATTAAGGCATTTTACTACAATGGAACAATTTTCATTCAACAAAAAATTTCCTTTTCAATTATAAAACGAGGCATTTTTGTGCATACAAAGAAACACCTGTTGTGTAGCAGCTGTATCGCGGCCGTCAAGAGCTGTTGCTGCAACTACGGCAGCGGATAGACACTCACGGACACAAGTCAGCCAGCCAGCTAAGTGTTTTGCCTTAAAATTCGAGCCAACTTGGCCAGACTGTCTGCTGGTTGGACTGGCAGTCGTGAAAGAGTTGGGTTGAGCCAAACTGCCGAAGCCGGCTGAAGTGGGTCCAACAGCCTCATTTGATAGTTGGTCGGCTCGAAAAGAGTCTCCGCCAGAAGCAACTGTCCCCGAGAACAATGCGGTTGTACGCTGATAGATCGTAGACTTATAGCCATGTGCAGGAGAGGCCTAGCTTTGAGCAAAGAAAGACAACAATAGGTGAACCATAGTGTTAAGCACAAACAAGTTTCTCTTGATGCTAGCACCAAAAGACCGGCCTCATTCTCATTAATTGGTGTTGAAAGATTATTTGTATTGTCATAAAGAAACTCTGATTTATGAAGTAAACTGGGATTGGTCTCAATGTCAGGCGATATCGAATTTATGAACGTTCAGAAACTTAATATGATGCTCAAATAAAATGGTAGCTATAGCGAGCCTGCTTTATTGAGTAAGACCAAAAATGCTGACCACGACGAAAATTATGCCTGGAAAGTAAGAATTATGACCATAAGCATAGCTGGGATAAAATTGAGGATAAAAGGTCAAAAATACACCAAAGACCTTATTTGAGGAGAATACCAAAGTTTGGAGTTACATAGCAAAATCAGACCAATATACTCATAATTGAAATTATAGTGACTATAAGAACGTCAGTAAAGAAATAAGTGCAACTAGCTAAGATATAGATACAAAATATTTTGGATGGTCAAAGATAGACAGACCACAAATAAGAATAACACAAATTAAGTATATAAGTAGAGTTCCGAGACTACCAGTAAATCAGTTGTGAGATGTCTTCACCCTATTTCGTTTAAGGTGATTAAGTATGGTTTTAGAATTTGCCAACAACGTTTCCATTCAATTTCAAATAGACTCGCTTTTCCAAAAATTGTTTCATCCAGGGCGGAATGCAGTTTCGATCTCGCATAGGTCTTATCGACACCCCCAGCATTAGGCCGCATTGCCACGAGTTCCCTTGGATCACAGGGCAGGTGTGAATTTAAAGTAAGGCCAGGTCTTTTCCCAAATAACTTTCTTTGGTGGGTGAATACATCTGATATAAGTGACTTACTGGTAGCCTCGAAAATAAGTAATGCAGTCGATTGTTATAGCAAAAATACGTTTGCTTCATCGACACTCCAACCAAAGAATGTGATAGGGGAAAAGGCCTGGCCTTCTTTGAAATGCACACCTCCCCTGTGACCCAAGGGCATTCGTGGAAATATAGCTGAGTGGTTCGACTGTCACGGTTAGATTCCAGCTGGGGGTGTTGAGAAGACCTATGCGAGGTCGAAACTATAGTCCACTTTTGGGAAAGCAAGACTATGTTAAATTCAATGGAAATGTCAGCTCTACTCATATCGTTTTGGTAAAATTTTACTACCAGTTCCTCATCATCTTAAACGAAATAGGGTAAATAGATCACATAAAATTAAGTAGAAGTGATATGAGCTTTGTTCAGGTCAAGGAGATGAGAGTAAAAGTGTTTCGTACGCCACTGAAGTTTTCCCAAAACGACCAGATAAACTTTTATCTACCCATCGTAGTTAAGAATAAGAAGTCTAGATATTCTCATATTTGCTTTATGGTGCAGGCTGGATATTCTACAAGACAGGACCACATATTGTATGCTAAACAAGGGCCCAACTATGAAGATCAATGGGATCTTAAGTGCCATGCTAAAATAGATGCATATGAATGGGGAGATTGACGCATGGACAAGAAATTCAATCAACCAACAGCATACGGATTACCGAATATACACAAGGAAGGCGCCACCAAGTCTAATAGTCAGCAATAAGTATGGAGCAACACACAAATTAGCAAAATTTATATGTTTGCAATTCAATAAATTAAATGAGAGACTATCAAACACGGTCAAACATTCATATGAGTTTACTCAAAAGATCAAAAACATGGCACTGGAAGAAATGGACTTATTGGCAAGTTTCGATGTAGAATCCATGTATACAAATATCTCTGGAGAGAATGCACTAACGGACCTACTGAAAATCCTGGACAGAAAGGAGGATATCCTGGAATCACAACGGATCAGGAGGGAGTCGTTAACAAGACTAATTAACTTGACAATAAGGACAACCTATTTTACATTCAACGGGAATATATATGAACAAATATTTAGACTTGCCATGGAATCACCGCTCTCACCACTTTTGGAAAATGTATACATGAACAAAATAGAAGAGAGCTTCAAGACGGCACCGCTACAACTGACAGTGCTCATGCGGTACC